AACGAGGACAAGGATTTTTGTTTGTTTTGTTGACTGCTATATACACAATGCCTAGAGCAGCATATCACAAGCACTCAAATATTCAACATTTTAGTAAATTTAAAAAAACAGTATTTTATTTCTTAAACTGAGTGGTGGGTACACAAGTATTATACTATATTTTATCCCCTTTGTCTTTATGGTAATATTTATTAAAAGTATTAGTTAGGGGCACCTGAGTGGCTCAGTTGGTTGATCATCTGACTTCAGGCCAGGTCATGATGTCACAGCTCATGGGTTCTAGCCCCATGCTGGACTTTGGGCTGACAGCACAGAGCCTGTTTAGGATTCTGTCTCCCTCTCTCTATGCCCCTCCCCCCGCTCACACATGCACTCACGTTTGTGCACTTGCACATGCACTCGTACATGCTCTCCTTCTCTCTCAAAAATAAACATTAAAAATTTTTTAAAAAGCATTGGCTAGGACACCTGGGTGGCTCAGTCAGTTAAGCGTCTGACTTTGGCTCAGGTCATGATCTCATGGTTTGTGAGTTTGAACCCCGCCTTGGGCTCTGTGCTGACAGCTCAAAGCCTGGAGCCTGCTTTGGATTCTGTGTCTCCTCCTCTCTCTGCCCCTCCCATGCTCATGCTCTCTCTCTGTCTCTCAATAATAATAAATAAACGTTAAAAAAAAATTTAAAAAGCATTGGCTAATGCATTTTACAAACCTAATAGCACTGCAACTATTCAGAAAATCATCCAGAATATACTCAAGAAAAAAATATACAAATAGGAAAAAATATGTATATGAATAGAGCCCAAACTCATTCAAATTTATGATTTGTATTTTTAAAGACACCTTCAAGCTACCATTCAACATTTACTGATTCTCAACCCATACAATATTCTCACAACCTTGGTTATATGATTTCTCAAAAACACAATGAATCAAACTGACTTTGTAAGAAAGGTATACAGAAAGAAAAGACAGTGAACTCCAAAAGAAGAGAGAAACTACTCTAATAAAGCAAGGAAATATTATTAAGATTTAAAATAAAAATTATTTTTTGAATTGTTTTTAAAATTTGAGGAAGAATATTCAGCCATCTGAAAATTCATTACGGAATATCTCATTTTCTCTATACATAAACATACACAGATGTGCACATATATGATTTCCCATATCTATATTTATATATCTACTTTATTGCTCTGGGTATGCTTTTATTTAATATATTCAATGGTTTATTCTTTTTTGATTATTCTTCATATTCATATTCTTCACATTCATGGCTAAGCCCTCTTAATTTTAGATCCCCATAAATTATTTTATACTAACATTACATTCAAAGATGACAATGTCTCACAGAAATTTTCTTTTTAAAAAAAAATTTTTTTTTAACGTTTATTTATTTTTGAGACAGAGAGAGAGCATGAACGGGGGAGGGGCAGAGAGAACGGGAGACACAGAATTGGAAGCAGGCTCCAGGCTCTGAGCCATCAGCCCAGAGCCCGACGTGGGGCTCGAACTCACGGACTGTGAGATCGTGACCTGAGCTGAAGTCGGACACGGAACCAACTGAGCCACCCAGGCGCCCCTCACAGTTTTAAATCATTACTTCATAATTATCATCTATATAGAAAAACACCATCCCCCCCCAAAAAAAACCTAAAAAGTGACAAAAGTTTTATATTAACCACATCATACAACTTGCCAGAGAATTACAAACTGCCTACTCAAACTCTCAACTTCTATGGACTAAGAAAGTGAGGTGCAGAGTTAAGGCTAGATGTTAACTTGCTCCTTCTCTAATATATAAATTCTAGTATCTAAGGGGTGTCTGGGTGGCTCAGTCAGTTGAGCATCCAACTTTGGCTCAGGTCATGATCACGTAGTTCATGAGTTCAAGCCCTGCATCAGGCTCTGGGCTGACAGCTTGGAGCCTGGAGCCTGCTTCGAATTCTGTGTCTCCCTCTCTCTCTGCCCCTCCCCTGCTCGCACTGTCTCTCTCAAAAATAAACAAACATTAAAAATAACTTTTTTAAAATTCTAGTATCTAAGAATAAGAAATTACTTTTTCACAATAATATGGAATGACTAACAAACCTAATTTAAATCAAGGATTTAAATAATTATTTAATATTGCCATATAAAATCATCCAAAATTCAGCACCTAGGGTTTTTAAAATGCTATATAAGATTCTGTGTATGACACTAAAGGAATTTTAAATAACCTTAGTCTTTGAAGATATTATAATACAGTTAGGCAAATAAAAATTTACAATTCAAATAATATTATCACACATTAAATTATAATAAAACAAATGTTGCAATAAAACTAAACAATATAAGAAATATAACTGTTAAAATAAATGAATTCAGTAAAGTTGCAGGGTACAAAATCAATACTCAAAAATCTGCTGTGTTTCTATATGCTAATAACAAATTATCAGAAAGAAAAAACATCCTCTTTACAACTGCATCAAAAAGAATAAAATAACTAGGAATAAATTTAATCAAGATGAAGGATTTGTACACTGAAAACTATAAGACCCTGATTAAAGAGATTGAAGATATAAATAAAAGGAAAAATATTCTATGGTCACGGATTGAAAGTATTACTATTGTTAAAATGCCCATATTACCCAAAGCAATCTACAGATTTAATGAAATCCCTATCAAAGTTCCTGGGCGCCTAAGTGGCTCAGTTGGTTAAGTACCCAACTCTTGTTTCAGCTTAGGTCATGATCTCATGGTTTGTGAGATCTGAGCCTGTGTCAGCCTGACAGCACAGAGACAGCCGGCTCAGTATTGTCTGTCTTCCTCTCTGTCTGTCCCTGTCCAGCTCACATGTGCACTCGTGAGCGCTCACACGTTCTCTCTCTCAAAAATAAACAAACATTAAAAAAAATTCCAAAGGCATTTTTCACAGAAATAGAATACATAGTCCTAAGATCTGTATGGAACCATAAAAGACCCCAAATAACCAAGCAATCCTGAGGAAAAAAAAGCAAAGTTGGAGGCATCACAGTCCTGATTTCAAGTTATTACAAAGCTACACTAATCAAATGGTATGGTATCAGCATAAAAACAGACATATAGATCAATGGAACAGAATAGAGAGCCCAGAAATAAACCCACACACATATGGTCAATTAATTTACAACAAAAGAGGCAAGAATATACAATGGGGAAAGGACAGTATCTTCAATAAATGGTGCTGGGAAAATTTGACAACCACATGCAAAAAAATGAACCAGGACCACTATATTACCCCATACACAAAAATAAACTCAAAATGGATTAAAGACTTCAATGTAAGACCTGAAACCATAAAATTCCTACAATAAAACACAGGTGGTAAGCTCTTGACACTGGTTTTATTAATATCTTTTTCGATCTGACTCCAAAAGCAGTGACAACAAAAGCAAAAATAAATAAATGGAGTTACATCAAACTAAAAAGCTTCAAGTGGAGGAAACCACCTACAAAATAAAAAGGCAACCTACAGAATAGGAGAAAAATACTTGTAAATCATGTATCTGAGAAGGGGTTTGTATTCAAAATATATTTAAAAAACTCATACAAATCAATAGCAAAAAAAAAAAAAAAAAAAAAATGTGATTAAAAAATGGGCAGAGGGACTGAGGGACTGAATAGACATTTTTCCAAAGAAGATATACAGATGGCTAAAAGGCACATGAAAAAAAAATGTTCAACATCACTAATAATCAGAGAAGTGCAAATCGAATCCACAATAACATATCACCTCATACCTGTTAGAATGGCTTTTATCAAAAAGAGAAGAACTAACAAGTGTTGGTGAAGAGGTGCAGAAAAGGGAACTTTCATGCACTGTTGGTGGGAATGTAAATTAGTACAGCCACTATAGAAAACAGTATGAAGGTTCCTCAAACAAACAAACAAACAAACCCACAATATGAAGTTTCCTTAAAAAAAAAAAAAAAATAGGTGTCCCTGGGTACCTTAGTTGGTTAAGTGTATGACTCCTTGATTTCAATTCAGGTCATGATCCCGGGATCACGGGATCAGCCCCATGACGGGCTCCTCTCTGAGTGTGAGGCCTGCTTGAAATTCTCTCTCTCTCCCTCTGCCCCTCTCCCACTTGTTCTCTTTCTCTCTCTCTCTTAAAAAATAAAAAAAATAAAAATAAAAAGTCCACCCTGTGATCCAGCAATTCTACTTCTGGGTATTTATCCAAAGAAAATGAAAATATTAGTTTGAAAAGACATGTAAATTACTATGTTCACTGCAGCATTATTTATAATAGCCTAGATATGGAAACAACTTAAGTGTCCATCAATGAATGCATGGATAAAGAAAATGTGGTATGTAAACACAATGGAATATTATTCAGCCATAAAAAAGGAAATCTTGCTGTTTGCAACAAGATGGATGGATCTTGAGGGCATTATGCTAAGGGAAATAAGTTAGACAGAGAAAGACAAATACCAAATGATTTCTCTTACAGTGGAATCTAAAACAAAACAAAACCAAGCTCACAGATACAGGGATCAGATTGGTAGTTGCCAGAGGCATGGAAAGGGGAATGGGCAAAATGGGTGAAAGAGGTCAAAATGTACAAACTTCTAATTACAATATAAATAAGTCATGGGGATATAATGTACATCCTGGTGATAATAATACCGTGTATTGCATATTTGAAAGGTGTTAAAAGAGTAATTCTTAAAAGTTCTTACCACAAGAAACAAAATTTTGTAAGAATAAAAAAACAGATGTTTCTTTGAAATTAAGAATATCTATCAATAGCCATTAAATTCCATTAGAAAAGTGACGCATTGTTTCCTCTGTTCCTGCTAAGATGTTCAGTCCTTCTGAGGAATCTAATGCCGTGCTGGGGTGAGGCCCTCATCTCATCCTGAGACTAGCACTAGCACACCGGGAGCCCCAGCACCAGCTCGCTCAGTGCTCAGTGCTCAGCGCTCAGCACTGGCTCATGACTCTTTCGCTCAGAACTTGCTTAGCACTTACCCGCTCCATGGCCTCCGTCTTGGAGCTGGCCAGGAGCAACTCCGCCCTCATCCTGCAGAACAATGAGGTGATGGTGATGGATAAAGATCAATGCCCTCGTTAAGCAGCACGTGTGAATGTTGAACCTTTCTGGCACGGCTTGCTTGCAAAGGCCCTGGCGAATGTCAGCATCAGGAGCCTCATCAGCAAGGTAGGGGCTAGAGGACCCGCCCCAGCAGTTAGTGCTACACCACAGGAGGTCCCGCTTTTTCCACTACTGCAGTCCCTTGCTGTGAAGGAAGTGGAAGCCAAGAAAGGAGAATCAGAGGAGTCTGATGACATGGGCTTTGGTCTCTTTCACTATGCCTCTTCTGTAATCTGTTCAATAAAAAGCTGAACTCTTAAAAAAAAAAAAAAGTAAAACATGAAAGCCAGTAAAGATATTTGTAATCCATGGATTTGTAATCCGTGTTATTTGGCAAAAAAACAAAAAAACTAAAACCCTCCTATCCAGAATATATTTAAAATGCCTGTAAATCAGTAAAAAACGACCCAATTAAAAAACAGACCAAATGTTTAAATAGGCACTTCACTAGAGATAATATCTAAATGCCCAATAAGCATACTAAAAGGTACTCAACCTCAATACTCATTAGGTTAATGCATATTATAAGCACAGGAAATACCGTTACACTTCCACTAGAATGAGTAATATTTTAACAACACTAACAAACCTGAGTGTTGGTAGGGATATAGAAGAACTAATCTCATCTATTCCTAGTGACTGGGTAGTGACTGGGAAGGGACATGAGGGAACCACTGGGCATGCTGCAAATATTCCCCAGCTTGTTCTGGGTTAAGTTGTTACATATGTATGTATGTGAGAAAACGTATTGGTCTCTACTGTTAAGAGTAATGTACTTAATGCAATGTACTTTAAAATATATACGTATCTGTATACACGCATATATATTTTTATTTATTTAAAAAAATTTTAATGTTTATTTATTTTTGAGAGAGAGAGAGACAAAGCGTGAGCAGGGGAGGGGCAGTGAGAGGGGGAGACACAGAATCCGAAGCAGGCTCCATCAGCACAGAGCCCAATGTGGAGCTCAAACCCACGAACCGTGAGATCATGACCTGAGCCAAAGTCAGATGCTTAACTGACTGAGCCACCCAGGCGCCCCTATTTTTATATTTTTTAAGTTTTATATATTTTGAGAGAAAGAGAGTATGTGTGTTGCAGAGGGGCAGAGGAAGAGGGAGAGAGAGAATCCCATGCTTGTCAAAAGAGGAAACACTAGCACTTTGGAAATAAGATTACTAAGGATCATCTAGGGAAACCAAAAAATTCTGAAGCCTTTGTCATAGCTAGGTAACCCTCAGGTGACTGGCAGAAGAAAATGAAAATCCTCTCTGAAAGATTATATTCTAAGCCTCCAAATGTTTCTAAAAGTATATTTTTAAATAACTTGCCCAACAAAGATTACAAGGCACATGACAATATGAACTAGAATCAACAAAAGCAATAGACAATAGCAACAAGCAGGGACTCCAGGTACTGGAGCTATCAGAAAGACTGTAGTACAATTATATGTTTACAAAGATAAACTCAAGCTTTAAAGTTTCAGCAAGTGTGGAAGTTGAGAAACTCAACAGAAGACCATAGAGGAAGGGAAAGAAAAAAAATAATTACAAACAGAGAGGGAGGCCAACCATAAGAGACTCTTAAGTACATAGAACAAACTAAGGTTGATAGGGAGTGGGTGAGGTGGGGAAAATGGGTGATGGATATTAAGAAGGGCACTTGTTCAGATGAGCGCCAGGTGTTGTAAGTTATGAATCACAGGAATCTATTCCTGAGCCACGAACACATTGTATACACTGTATGTGAGCTAACTTGACAATAAACTATTAAAAAAAAAAGTTTCAGCAAGAAACTGAAAACCATAAAAAGTGTCATTTGTAAAGAGAACCACTGGGATGCCTGGCTGGCTCAGACTCTCAATCTCAGGGTGGTAAGTTCAAGCCCTGTGTTGGGCGTGGGGCCTACTTAGAACAAAAACTTTTAAAAACTGGACGCCCGGGTGGCTCAGTCGGTTAAGTGTCCGACTTTGGCTCAGGTCACAACCTTGCGGTTTGTGAGTTCAAGCCCTGCACTGGGTTCTCTGCTGTGAGTGCAGGGCTGGCTTCAGATCCTATTTCCCTCTCTCTGTCTGCCCCTCCACTTGCACTCTTTCTTTCTCTCTCTCAAAAATAAATAAATAAACATTAAAAATTTTAAAAATATATTTAAAAGAAAAAGGAACCAGCAAAAACTATAGAATTAAAAAATACTATAACCAAGCTTAAATATTCAATGATGATCTGAAGAGCAGATGACACTTTTGAAGAAATGATAAACTAGGAGCAGGTCAGAAAAATCTACCCAGAATTAGGGGCGCCTGGGTGGCTCAGTCGGTTAAGCATCCAACTTTGGCTCAGGTCTCACAGTCTATGGGTTCAAATCCCGTGTCGGGCTTTGTGCTGACAGCTCAGAGCCTGGAGCCTGCTTCAGATTCTGTGTCTCCCTCTGTCTCTTCCCCACCCACATGTTCTGTCTCTCTCTCTCCTTCAAAAAATAAACATTTAAACTGAGCATTGATGGGGAGTGGGAGGGAGGGGGGGTGGGTGATGGGTATTGAGGAGGGCACCTTTGAGCACTGGGTGTTGTATGGACACCAATTTGACAATAAATTTCATATATTGGAAAAAAAAACATTTAAAAAAATTTAAAAAATAAAAGAAAATTAAAAAATAAAAGAAAAACCTACCCAGAATAAAGCACTGAAATGGTAAGTACAGAAGACAGAGTAACAGACGTAAAGGTCCTAGTAAGAGGGCCTAACTAATAGGGATTTCACTGAAGTCCTAGAGAAGTAAACAGAATGGGACACAGGCAACATTTGAAGATATATAGCTGAAACATCTCAGGACCATGAAAGAATCTAATCTATCCGATTCAACAACTGCAATGAAGCACAGCCAGGATAATGCAATATTTACAAACAAAAACAAAACAAAACACCACAATTCTTTAAAAAAAATGTTTTAATTTTTATTTATTTTTGAAAGAGAGCGAGAGAAAGTGTGAGCGGGGGAGGGGCAGAGAGACAGGGAGACACAGAATCTGAAGCAGGCTCTGAGGGCTGAGCTGTCAGCACAGAACCTGACACAGGGCTCGAACTCACAAACGGCAAGATCATGACCTGAGTTGGTAGGATGCTTAACCAACTGAGCCACCCAGGAGCCCAAAACACAATCCTTTCACCTCCTGTATGTATGCCCTCTTGGAATGTGAGTTTGTAGCTCTTCACATCAAGAGGTAGAGTTTTTTTCCCCACCCTTTGATCTTGGCTTGTTTTGATTAATAGAATTTAATAGAAGTGAAGTGCTTGTTCTGAACCTAGACAGACCTCAAGAGGTCTTGTATGTATCCTTTTCTCTTGGAACACTGCTGTGGCCACATGAACAAGCTCAGGCTAACATACCGGATAATGAAATATGTAGCCCAGTCACCTCCACTGCCCCAGCCAACAGACCAAAGCAGCACTGCCTACCTGCCCTGCAGCTGACTACAGACACATGTAGGAGCTCATGTGGAACCCAGACCATGTGGAACAGAGAACCATCCAGCTGGGCCCAGCCCAAACTGCCAACCAAATTAATTATAAGGAAAGTAAATGACTGTTGTTTTAATCCACTAAGTTTTAGAGTGGTTTATTTCACAGCAAAAGCCAAATGACAGATAAATATTAAAACAAATCCACACATGGGGTGCCTGGGTGGCTCAGTCGGTTGAGTGGCCAACTCCAGCTCAGGTCATGCATGATCTCACAGCTCGTGAGTTCGAGCCCCACATCAGGCTCTGTGCTGACAGCTCAGAGCCTGGAGCCTGCTTCAGATTCTATGTCTCCCTCTCTCTCTGCCCCTCCCCTGCTCGTGCTCTGTCTCTCTCTCTCTCTCTCTCTCTCT